TTCCCTAAAGGGGTGGGGTGGGGGTGGGAAAACCAACTAAACAACAACAACAACAGCAAAAAGAATGGTATTTATGGCAATGAGAAGGTATTTACAATAAATAAAAAGAGAAAAAAATATGCATAATGATCCCACTTCTGTGAAAAACAACTCTACCACAGCAACAAAAATGGCAGTGGCCTTGTAATCCCAAGCATGAGGCTGAGTAGATAGATGGCCTGGAACCTGAAACTTAACAGTGTTCACCCCAAGGATGCAAGGTTTCACTTTTCTCCTCCTAGACTTCCATACTGCTTTCCAATAAAACAAAACAACCAGAAAAAGGGGGAAAGGGAAAGGGGGTCACATAAGGGCAGGAAACCTGTTCTCTGACCTTGCACTTGTTCTGAGGTTGTGGCTAGCTAATCCCTTGTGCCAGAGAAATTCTTTACCTCACTTGCAGTCGGTTGCCATTTAAATGCAGCCATTGGTCCAGTCATCATCCCTTTCACGGTACTAGACTCAGGAATGGTGAGGTCCTACAGGAGAGAGGCAGAGCATCAGGACACTTTGCTTCCCTTTTGGCCACATTAACTCTCAACTAAGCCCCCAGCAAGTGCCACAGCTTAAATATAAGTTCAAGTCAATCCCCTGGGCAAGGTTCTGGTGACCATCCCTTGGGAGAAACAAGATTAAATAATTCTTGTCAACAGAAAGCGAGCCTTCTCCAATCTTGTAATAATGAAACCTGCTCCTGTGCCTAAATGTCACAAGGATGGTGGTTAATTAGGAAATCTCAACAATGGTCTGCAGTGCTGCCAACAAGTCATAGGAATATTCCTTATGATTCTTTATAAACACTAAGAAAATAGTGATGGCTTCTACCATAGTGGAATCTACCATGTCTTAAAAGGGGGTGGTGGTGGCCGGAGAGTTGGCTTAGTGGTTAGAAGCACTGGCTGCTCTTGTAAAGGACTGGGCTTCAGTTCCCAGCACCCACATGGCAGCTACTGTCCCTAACTCCAGTTCCAGGGGATCTGATGCCCTCTTCTGGCTTCTAGGAGCATTCTATGCACAGGTGCACTTAGATCCATTTAGGCAAAACACTATACACATAAACTAAAAAAGAAATCATTTACGTAGCCTGTGACCCATTCCCCTGAACAAAGCTAGTCTGGCCACTCCACTATTGCACTACCTCATACCTCCCCACCTTGGTGGGTCACCAGGTGAATGCTATTGCGCCCACAAACCTTTTACATCGCCTGACACACTGTTCCTCCCATCTTCCTGATGGGTGCCAGCTCCTCCTGACCACCCCCTCCATGGGCAGTGATCACCGTTCTGCTGCTGCATAGCCACCCTTTCCCTTGCTACTTATACCAAGCTCTGGCCACCACACCACTGTCACTGTCAGTCAGAAACTGCAAACTGAATCTCCTGTTCCCTCTTTGGACCTGTGCAGTCTAGTTTCTGCATAGTAGCCCAAGTCAGACCTCATCATGAATCTACCCAAAGCCAGTTTCCCACTTAAGCAGTGTAGGTAAAGCTTGCTGTAGTAGCCTCACGGAGGGCTGTACCTATTCCATGCTCATCTCTGCCTGAGTCCCAATTCTTCCTCTTCTTGGCCATTCTGTAGCCTACCAGCACTTCAGTCTCCCATTCCAAGCACTCCAAGCATGTACCTGCCTCAAGGCCTTTGCATGTTAGGGCTGGTCTTCCAACACATCTATTTGGAATCCAAGCTCACTTCAGGGCACTTCAAAAAGGTTCCCTTCATCAGAGTGACTTTACCTGACTTCTCTATATCTTCCCCCATTCAAAAGTGACACTGACTACAATGACAGCAAAGGCACCTCATAGCACCAATTTACAGATATGGTCTCACACAACCCTCATCACTCACAAAAGAAAACTACTATCATCTCCCTTTTATAGAAGAGAAAACTGAGATGCAGAGAGCTCAAATAGCCTTGGCTAAGAACACCTAGCTAGCCGTTAGTAAGGTAAATCAAAAACTTAAACTCTGGGGCCTGGAAAGGTGGCTCAGTAGTTAAGAGCACTGGTTTGCTCTTGCAGAGGACCTGGGTTTGTTTCCCAGCACCCACATGGAAGCTAACAATCGTCTGTTAACTTCAGTTCTAGGAGATCTGACATCCTCTTCTGACTTCTGCAGGCACTGCACAACATTGGTGGACCTACCTACATGCGGCAATATACTCATATATAGGAAAAATTCAAACTCTGGCAATTTGGCTTCAGGGCTGGTGCTTTTAAAAGCACATTCTAGGAAAGGCAGGAACCTTGCCAATTTTGTTCACTCTACCCCATGTTGAGAACCATGCCTAGCATGAAGCAGAAGCTAAGTATTTATTGGATAAGTATTTCTTTCCTGAGAGGGGCCATGTCTGTTCTTAGGCTTTCTCTCTAGACATCTGGCTTCTGTTGGAGCAGCAAAATAACATCTGTCTAATAAAGGGAAAGACAAGACTACTGTAGAGCTGCCCCAAAGAATGTTCTGTAATGGCAGATACAGTATCTATCTGTGCTAACACAGAAGTCTCTAGTCACAGTGTCAATAGAGAGCACATAACACTAGGCTAGTGATTTTAAATTTTATCCAGTGCAAGTTACATCCACATGGAGACGTGTGTGTAAGGGACAGTGCAGCTCTAAGGATGACAGAATGGGAGCAAAGAAAGCATAGCACATAGTTCAAAATGAAGAAAAGGCCCTCTATTTCTGATTCATTCTTCTTGGTATGAGTTCAAAATTTTAGGAGTAGTGGGCTAGAGAGATGGCTCAGTGGTTGAGCACTGGCTGCTCTTGCTGAGGACCCAAATTTGATTCTCAGCACTCACATGGCGGCTAACAACCAACTGTAACTCTCTCTTCTGACCTCCTTGGGCATTGCACAACATGGGTGCACTTACATACACACAGGCAATACACTCATGCACAAAAAATAAAAATAATAAAGAAAACATATATTACAAAAATTTTAGGAACAGCATAAACTTGGTCGTACTTCTGTTGGGACGATCTGTGCCTAAAGTTGTAGTTCTCAGCTTAGGACCAGGAAAGGAGAGCCCAGTCAGACATGGGAGCAGGCCTCCAGGTAAGCTCTTAACGGAAGTCTAGACATAAACTGCTTGCCTGCAGACAAGCATTTAACACTTCTGAGATCAAGGTCAGCCTGTTCAGTTATCTTAAGGGAGCAGAAGAATGGTACTCACCTGGGGCTCTGCCAAGCTAACAACCTGTGCTACTTAGTGCTCATGTCAGACAAATGACAACTATTATGGCAATATATACAACTGTACTCTGTGAGCTGCAGATGAGGTCAGATCCATCACCACTCTATTGCCAGGGCACAACCTTGAAGCACTGAACACAAATGGTTCTGCCTGCCCCCTACCTCTGGCCAAGCTCCATCTTCTGAGGCAAGGTTAGAAACGACTCTCCAGAAGTCAAGAGCAGGTAGAACTCGTAGGCTGAAATCTGGTTAAAAGTTACTACTATTCAGCCCTAAGGGGTGGACTGCTTCTCATTAGCAGCTGGAGAGACTCCTTGACATAGAAGTAGGCTTGGAAGGGCCTCTGGGGGCTGTACTTAAGTGACCTTCCACCTATTCTTACTGTATACCCAGCTCCCATCCTAGAAACAGCCTGTGCAAGGGTTGGATCAGATACTCCGTGCTCTGCAGGCATTGTTCTCAGCACTCTATTCGTGGATTCACTCAGTTCTCACAGCAAACCTATAAAGCTCAAAGTTCAGACTAGGAAATGGAGGGAAAGGTCAAAGTCGCAAAGCTGTAGCAAGGCACAGGTTATATATAACTCAGGGCCTTTGTCCTAACTTCTCTACTATACTTCGTTTTTTTTTAGTGTTTTTGGAAACAGGGTCTCCCTGTAGTTGGCCTGGAATTCACAATGGAGACCAGGCTGGTCTTGAACTCAGAGATCTACCTGCCTCTGCCTCCCAAGAGCTGGGATTAAAGGCATGCGCTACCACGCCCAGCTGCCAGTATGAATTTGGAAGATAGAATAAAACCTAGCAGCTCCAGATTCCTTCCAGATCCCCAGGAAGTACACTTGAAAACTATATTACATCTTTTATGGCTCAGATTAGGTCACATCCCTTGCAAAGTTCCCTAATCACTGAGGCTGGCATTCCCTGAACCTCCCCACCTCCTGGGCATGGTCATGGGGGCACTCCTCCCTCTACCTTTTTAGCCTTAGGACAGTATGAAGGACCTTCTCCATTCAGACGTCCCACAGAGGGAGCTCATAGGTTGAGCCTCACCAAAGATACCCTTTTAGAACCATAGTGTTTCTAAAATGTGAATCCGATTCTGACAATTAAAATTAGGGCATTTTACACGCAAATACCTTTATTTCCAGCTTCCCTTGAAGAAAACCAGATGATCTGATAATATTGGCTAGGCACCCTGCAGAGAGTGTGACTGGGGCACCCCCAGAAACATTCAGTCTTCCTGCTCTTCAACTGCAAGCCTTTCTTCCTCCATCCAGGCAGCTTCAGTTGCACCTGTCCTGTCTCATGGGTGTCTGAACCTCCAGCATTTCTCTGTGTCTTATGTTTCATCAAGACCTTACACCCACTGTTCTCGCTAGCCATCTGGCTTCTGTTCCTTTTATCCTGCTGCATATCTCCCTGCGTGCTCCTCACACCACACAGACTACCCATTTCCTGAAATTCTCTGAGGCTGGCCTCAAGCCTTGTTAAGCAAGAAGGTGAGAAACATACTATTCCCTCCTGATTTCACCTGGCAGCATTTCCAACTCTGCCACCCCTGACCATGCACTGTCTCTGCAGTGCAGCCTCTAACCTTGAGCACCCCTTCCTAACTTTTCCAAGACAAGCTCATTCAGACTCATGGATGGAACCATCCTTCCCCCAAGATAGCCTTCCAAGTCTAGAGTTTCAGTCCTGTCTGGGCTATACTTCAAATGTATCACATTCAAAAAAGAACCAGGGGCCAGAATATATAGCTTGCCTAGCATGCATCAAGCCCTGAGTTCTTACCCCAGTTTTGCAAAGAATGACAACAGCAAACCCCTCCTCCTAACTCTCCAAAAGCCCCACAGAACCAGCTCTCTTCTGTGAGCCAGCTCCATGTCCTGACTCTTGTGCATGTAAGAAAGCCATCAGCACTATTTTTCCAGGAGTGAAGCTTGCAGCCACCTTTCTTGCCCTTTTGTTTTTACTGTCCATATAACCAATTGCCAAATTACAGGAGGGTTTCCTCTGATACACCTCTTCCCCACTCCTTTCAGGACATGCTATCCCTCTCATGGTGTACAAGTGACTTTGGCCTTCTACTTGCCTACAAGCCCCCCTTTCCAACCTTGTAATTACTAAGGCCCAGCTTGGCATACACTGTGATCTCAACACAAAGCTTGAATAGCTTCTTGGGGTCCCAGTGACTTGTGGAAACTGTGTGGCCCTCTGCAACCTGGTGCCAATCTGCCTGTACCTCTTTGCTTGACACCTGACCTTCTACCTGCACAGGGACAATCTAGTCAACACTGTGCCTCACATGGACTGAACCCTTACCTCTGCAGTGTTCTCCTTCCCTTCTCACTAGCCTTCCTCCCAGCCAGGTTGGTACACATGTGCAGCTCAGGAGACTCTTCTCCTGCCTCTACCTCCTGCTCTGCTTACCATCTTGCTCTCACCTGGTCAACAGGACTCTTTAGGGTAGTACATGGCAAGGACTCCATGTCCACTAGATGAGGAGCATACTTTAAGAGCATGGCTCTACTTTACATAAAAAGAAGACACTAGTCCAGGAAGCTATAGTGGTAAACAAACCTTCTCGTCCTTTGGGGGCCGACCCCGCTTCCGGGGACTTTGCTCTTGGGCTCTTTTCAGAGAGCATTTGGAGCCTCTCTCTGCAGAGCCTGAAGTCACTCTCTTCTTTCCTTCTCCCATGTTCTTCTTCACCTTCCCTTCAGACAGGCTAAGCTTGCGCTTTTCATCACCTGAGTTTGGCCTACTTCTCTCCTCACTGGAATTACGCCGATTCTTGTCATCAGCAGAAGTGTGGGATGATGTCTGAAAGTTCAATAATAATAATGATCACTACCACAACAGATGTTGCCACCACTGACACTGCTATGGGCCACAGAGTGCTTTCAGCTCTTCTGTGAAATGTCCTCAGAGTCACCCTACCAGGCTCCTCACTCACCTGGGGAAACAGCTTAAAAAGAGAAAACCGGGGCTAGAGAGACGGCTCAGCAGTTGAGAGCACTGACTGCTCTTCTCTTCCTAAAAGCAATGTGCCTCAGAAAGGTGAGTCACAAGCATGGGTTTGAGACCACAATCACTCTCTTGCTAGGCATGTCATGGGAATGAAGTGAGTCTGGGACACATTTTACCTGCTAGGGAACTGCAAGTCTCTCTTACCTGGTCTTTCCCTTTGGCTCTCCTGAGGAACTCTTCAACGGCATCCACAGCTTGCTGGAACCGTTTGCCCTTGTTGATCTTAATCATTTCCTCTTTATGAGCATGATAAGGCTTTAGCTGTTCAACTTTGATCCAAGCACTAGCAGAAAAGAAACACAGAGAGGGTCTCATTCATACCGCCAAAATGTTGAGATCTCACCAGGGCAGGATGTGACCATCATTTCCTTAGCTGGGCTCTGAAATAGTCATGTACACCACCAATTATGTATCGCAAACTCTTGAGCCTAAAGTACATTTTCTTGAAATAAGTCAAGCAGAACCACCCCTGATCAGAACATTCCTCATGTGAGATCACCGTGCCACACATTTTCCAACTATACATACCTGCTACCTGTTCAGGTAGCAGTCTGTTGCCCTCAGTGTGCAGCATGGAGAGCAAAGAGAATCCCAGGGCCCCTGTATGCGTTACAAAACACAGCAACAAGCCGGGTGTGGTAGTGCACGCCTTTAATCCCAGCACTTGGGAGGCAGAGGCAGGCAGATCTTTGTGAGTTCGATGCCAGCCTGGTCTACATAGTGAGTTCCAGGACAGCTGAGGCTACAAGGAGACCCTGTCTCAAAAAAGACAAAAAAAAAAAAAAAAAAAAAAAGACACAGCTACACTGTTGCACAAGGAAACAATGGTTGCTAGTCAACCATTTTTTTTTTTGTTTCCTCCTTTTTTGAGACAGGCTCTCACTACTTAGCTTTTTCTGGTCCCGAACTCACCACGCAAACCAGGTTGGTTGTGAATTTGTAGCAATTCTATCTCTGCCTTCTGAATGCTGGGATTACAGGAGTGAACTACCTACCACTCATGGATTGGTCAACTATTTGAACCAGATTTTCAATCTAGATTAATAATCTAGAGACAGGATGTGACCAGGGCTAAAGAAAGGTAATTGAAGATGTCTCCTGATTATCCTGCTTCCATCTCCCAACACTTGTTATGTGGTGCTGGGGATTGAACCCACAGCCTCATGCATGCTAGGCAATCACTCTACCAACTCAGTACTCTAGCCCAAATGCAACATTTTCTAAAATTTGCTGTTCTTATAGATATTTGCGGCCACTGAGCCTACATGTATTCTTAAATGATGGTATCCATGGCTACTAAACCATACAGAACATATGGTTTAGGATGAGGGCAGCAGTCACAAGAGTAGGCTTTAAAAATGGTATTCTTCTTGAGAACAAGGGCAGAATGAACTCTGTTTTCTAATTCTTAATTTCAACTGTCAATGTGTAACATTAAAGTGAAAAAAGCAGTAAGCTGTCAATCCTAGAATATCTGGCCTATTGTGCTAACCTGAGCAAGTCTGCTGTGGTTGGCTTTCTGTGGTTTCCCTAAATGACATTCAGACTTATGGAATCCAAGTTAAAAAAGAATACATTACAGTCTTGGCAAGGTATCCATTAATTTACATATGTCTTTGCCTGTAATACAGGGTCTTACAGCATAACCTTCAGAAAAAGTGGGTCAGGCTAAGGATATAGAAATTGGGGTATGTAGTAACAGGAGTTTCTTTCCTAAGAGAAAGCCAGAGAATATTCACTCCTAATAGCCAAAGTGCTTTCAACCTCCCTCCAGCTGCTTGTACTGAGTGCTGTGCCAGCAGTTATGAGGACGGGTCACAACAAATGTGGAGCCCTGGGACCACAGCCTGCAAATCTCAGGCAGCCAACTAAGGCCAGCATGGTACCTATGTCCCTAAGGCCAAGGCAAATGACACATGGGGATGCAGATGCTAGTCTCTGACACATAGTCCAAAGCACAGAAATGTAGCAAGATGTTTTTCAGTAGTCAGCTATAGTTTGCAAGATGACAAGAAAGCCATGAGCCCAATCCTTAGGAAGGCCACATGGAAAGAAGTCTTAGCCTTGTATTGCTGACTGGTGTGTAACTAGGGACCCCCTTACCTCTTGCTGTATTTATACAGATTGTATGGCAGAGGCAAAGGCAACAAACCTGTAGTACCAACTGTCAGTCTGGCTCTGAGATCCAACTCAGTGACAGGGATGGAGCCTAAAGATCCATGGTTCTCAGGATTCACCTTTGTCCCTCTGTCAAGGAGCTTAGCTATAGGTCAGACACTTGAGACAACAATCCCATTCACTCCTTCCCACCACTGTCACCTCCCTTCAAGTCTCACATCAACCTCTGATTCAGATAAAATGCAAAAGCAAGGACAACTATGGAGGAAATGAGAATAAGCCAACCCCTACTTTTTGGTTGAAGTGTTTTAAAACAGATTACTGATTTCTACAAGAAGGAATACAGTCAAAATTCAACTTACCTTCTGAACAGGAATTTGAGATTCTACAATGAAATTTTCCTCTCTACAACTATCTTTGAAATTTTCAAATGGTTTCCTAAATGAACCAACAGTACAAATATAACTTTAAGGGGATAAAAGCAAGAAATGTTAATCTACTTAGGAAATTGACCTATTGTCAGAGAGGCATCCTGTCTCATCAGAAAAAGTCAATAAAATGCTAGCTCACTAGAGCCCAGAAGGATTACCTCTGGAAAGCAAACCTCACTTGAACTGCTCTGGCCATCGAAATAGAATGTGCTCTTCACCGATCATACCACAAAGCCCCATCTGTTTAAAGAGGTGGTACCTTTCAGCTGGACCCTCAGTAATGTACATCTTTAATTCTGAAGGCACACCAGCAAGGCTGGCATGAAACCTGTGCTCAATAAAGAGTTGCTTGGTAAATGATGCCCTCCAGCCATATGAAGGGGGATATGTGGACTACTTATCAGTGGGTGAAGAAGTAAACGCTAAAAACACTTAGCCTGGTAAGGTTTCAGCATTTGTTTTGTGTTGGTTTTAAATTTTTAAAATTAAGGTGGAGCAGGTAGATCTTTGTGAGATGGAGGCCAGCCTGGTAAGTGGAGGCTAGCTGGAATTACAGGGAGACCCTGACTCAACATAACAAAACAAAAAAAGCCAGGCATGAAGGCACATGCCTTTGATTCCAGTACTCAGAGGCAGAGGCAAGGCAGATCTCTCCGAGATCAAGGTCAGCCTGGTCTATACAGCAAGTTCCAGGCCAGCTTAGGCTACAGGGAGAAACTACCCCCATCCAAATTAATTATTTTAGATTTTTATTTTATTTTTGAGGCAGGGTCTCCCTGTAGCCACAGCTGGACTGAAAGTAACTATACAGACCAGGCTGGCCTTGAACTCACAGAGATCTGCCTGGCTCTGTAAGATTTTAATTTTTTTTGATACAAACTCTCATGTAGCCCAGGCTGGCTTCAAACACTATATGTAACCACGGATGACCTTGAACCTCTGATTCTATTGCCTCTACCTTCCAAATGCTAGGATTATAGGTATACAGCACCATTTGTAGTAGGGATAGAACCCAGGGCTTCGTGCAAGCTAGGCACTCTATCAACTGAGCTAATTCCCCAGCCCTTGTGTTGGCCTTTTGTTGTTGGTTTTCTTTTTCTTTCTTTCTTTCTTTCCTCTCTCTCTTTCTTTCTCACTTTAAGATGAGTCGACTGTCATGTTGTGCGCTGCCTTAAGAAGAGACTTATGCAGTCAGAAACATGCAGCTAGGCAGCAGCTTTTGACCTGCCAAGCTCCAGCTAGCCTGGAACTATGATATAGACCTGGTTGGCCTCAAACTCACAGAGATCCACCTGCCTCTGCCTCCTGAGTGCTGGGATTAAAGACGTGTGCCACCATGCCCGGCCCTGTGCTGGCCTTTTAAAGAATGTTCTTGGCCAGCCTGGTCTACATAGTGAGTTCTAGGCCAGATACAGAAGACCCTGTCTCCAAAAAAAAAAAGTACAGGGAGTTAATCCTGGAAAACAAACTAAATGGCAGTCCCTGAGGATATCCCTTCACATATTTGGCTGAAAGGAAAAAGCAGAGAGGTGTGTAGTGTGCTATCAGCTGTGCAAAGGAATACACAGGTAGCTCACCTCAAGAAGCTAGTCTACCTGGATGGCTGAGGGACAGAAAGAGTGGAACCACTTCACTCTTATCAGCTTCATTATATTCTGAACCATTAATATTCAGTATTAAAACTAAACTAAACCAAACCAAACCAAACCACAAATCAATACTAAAGGCTTCTATGCAGACCATGGACTACTATGGGTGATCAGAGGGTGCTCCCTCAGACTGTGGTGTGATCACACCTGGAATGGCACATAGTGGCCAATGTGCCTTTGTGTCCTGTCATACTTTCTACAGACTCTTCAAATGGAAGCCAGACCTGCCACTAAGCCACTCTCAGATTACTTACTCAAATGTATTAAAAAACAAAACAAAACAAAACACAGCATTAAAAATCTTCCCATAATGCCGGGCATGGTGGTACACGCCTGTAGTCCCAGCACTTGGGAGGCAGAGGCAGGTGGATCTCTGTGAATTCAAGGCCAGCCTGGTCTACACAGTGAGTTCCAGGACAGCTGGGGCTACAGGGAGACCCTGTCTCAAAAAGACCAAAAAAAAAAAAAAAAATCTTCCCATACTTAAAGATCTATGACACCCTCACACATGTGTCTCAGCCTTTGCTTAGACACAATGACCTGGACTAGAGTGTTGAAGTAGAGGCACATGACAGTAGACAGGAAGGGGCTGACACGAAGAGAGAGAACATGGGACTAGAAAGTCCAAAGCTGAGAACAGGGTCAGAATATAAGGGTGTCCTCCATCTGAATGTGAGGAATGGTGGTTATAAAACTCTATATATACCTTCCTCCCACTACCTTTTTTGTTTGAGATAGTGTCTCCCTGTAGCTCCAGCTAACCTGGAACTCGCTATGCAGACCCAGTTGGCCTTATCTCAGAGGTCCACCTGTCTCTGTCTCCCAAGTGCTGGGATTAAAGGTGTGCACCACTATGCCTGGCAACCCACACCCCCATTTGAAATAAGTTTTTTATTTTTTATGCTTGTGTTACATTTCTGGATGTATGTAAGGACATTCGTGGCATGCAATGCCCAGAGGACAAAAGATGGGGTCAGATACCCTGGAACTAGAGTTACAGATAGTTAGCTACCATGTGGGTGCTGGGAACCCAACCTAGGTCTTCTGCAAGAGCAGCCAGTACTCTTAACTGCTGAGCTATCTCT